AAGGTTAATTTCGTTTTATAAATTACAATAATTTTTTTTTTGTCTCGTACTCGTGCGGAAAGTTAAGTCCTTTTCAATATTATGATTATTAAAAAATTAATAATACTAATAAATAAAAGAAATTGCTTTGTTTTTGTTGTACTTTGCCAACAATTTAGTAAATTCACATTTATTGCTTGGTTTAACTCTTTTTTACATTCAGTAAGTTGTTGTAATGTGGTGTGGTCAACCATATTTACAATAAAAACAATTGAATACAAATAGAAATTGAATAATTAAAGAAGATGCCATTCCAAAACCACAAAACGCCGAAATATCTTTCGACTCGATCTTAGGATAAATTGCCATTATTAATAAATGAGTATATTTTATAATTTTTGTTTTTTAACTAAATTCATCTGTGTTGGGATTTTTATCATTAGTTTTTGTGTGTAATTTATTATGCTAATTGTTTGCGCGTAAGTGTAGACACCGTTGCATGTTAGCGCTGAGCGTCTACTTCCAAAGCAAATCACTTGTTTTTAAGCCTTCTACCAAATTTATGCCGCTTTCCCCCCGTAGCTGTTGCCAGTTGCCAATATTTTGCTCGGTGGTGTTGCTTTTGTTGTTACTGCTATATAATATAATATATAATAAAAATTGGGTTTCTGTATATATATATTTTTTTTTCTTTTCACTTAATAAACATATAACTTTATATTTAAAAATATTTGTTGTTGTTGGTATTGTTCTAACTGCGCCGCTTCTCTGCTGAAAGCAACACCCGTTCCGATGTTGCCAAATTGCTCGTACATCATGATTTTATGCTGGTGTTTCTGGGGCGTGATCCTAGAAGAATCGTTTAAAATTAAGTTCGATATGTCAATGTGGGTGTAGAAGCTCTTAAGGTCACACGGATTGGCGGGCAAAGTGCGCAGAGACATGATGGTGGTGACATCATCATTCACAGATTTCTAGGGATGCATACAATTTTTTGGAGATAACGGTTGGTTGGTGCTTTGGCTCTTTGGTTGGGGTGGTCATGACTCATATGTACATATGTATGTATGAATTTCATTCCATACAACACGTGCGGGTAAATAACTAGATGGGAGTCGACTCATTTCAAACCAAAATTCATATAAAAACTCAAAGAGGAAATCGTCGAGTGGAAACAGCGAAAAATCACTTAGTACTAAAGATATTTACAATTGTAAGTGATTTGAGTGTAACTGGGTGAATTTATAAAAAATTAAAATAAAATAAAAAATTTATAAA